CCAGCTCCTGGAAGCGACTCTTGTTGGATACTTTAAACAGCCAGAGCATGCCAGCACAACGATAGGATACGACGGAATTTTAGTAGAGCTTGAGACAGTGGGCGGTGACGGCGTTTCCGTCGCCTAAGATTTTTCGATTTATCGTTTATGTATACAACGTTGTCAACGTTTTTTCAAATGTGTCATATCTGACCGGGGCCTCTGCAGCATCGTTGAGCTTTTGTTTGAGTTCGAAACAAGCAATCATTAAATTGCCTTAGAAAGGTTCTTTAATTGCTGTTTTGATATACAGAATATCGCGAGCAGCGAATAAAATTTTCGAAGGCGCCGGTGAATTTGAATTTACTGGTGACAAGTTATTATTACTTGGATATACAGGATTCGCTTTAACACGAAATTTCACATGCTTCAACACTCTCATCCGATCTTTGATGTAGTCCGAAGGTCTTTTATAATCAGCTATAAATTTCGTCTCGACTTCCCTTTTTGTCTAGGGGTTTGTGAAGTTCAGAAACGGGTCGACAAACATTTTCCATGTAATCCTGCGCAATCTAATCAAAATTAACTATTGACTAATACTCTCTAAACGAAATATTTGTCAGCTGATTTAGCACCCCACAAGACATTGCCTCCACAATTGAGGTACAAGTTCGGAGTTGTGTGAGTTTTAACAAACACATTACTTGAGTTCGACCATTAGCTTGTCATAAAAACATACGAACATTGCCTTGTATAACTGAAAAAGTGGCATACTTGGAGGTGAATGTAAATAATTGCCAGCGCTTTATGTAATTGGTAAAGTTGTTGTTGTAACATGGTGCATAACCGAAACGTTGCTGAAACACCTCTGGTATTTGAAGTTCAATTCTCGGTTGTTCTTCATCTACTTCAAGCAGGCTATCTTTACACATGTGGAAGACGTCATCGAAAAAAAGGAAATAATAAATAACGAAAAAAAGTTTTTTTTACATGCATTTTCTGTATTCTAGTTCGTCGAATATCGTTTTGTATCTGCCAAGCAGCTGTTCCATATGCATGCGGTTGTTTGGAGAGACACATAATATGAATTAAGTTCGGTTATTTACTTCTGGATCAGAAACCTTTTGTGCTGCTGGCAAAGTGCATCTGTCTAGTTGTCCGGGATCTAATAGACATACTTTTTCGCCTAGAAGAATGAACTCTTCATACATAAGGAATTGCTGACATGTAGAGAAATTATAGCGATGTGACAGGCTTCGTAATTAATTTTTCTGGTTTAGTTAACGTGTTCCTTGGTCTGACTCTGATAACTTTAATCCAACTTTGCAATTGTTTTGATCTGGCCATTAATAGACTTTTCTTATCTCGCAGCGCTAAATAAGGTGATAAGCTTATCTTAGTTGTTACCAATTCGGAACCAACAGTATTTTCTAAGCAACGTTTTAGGATATCATTAAAGGGTATTTTACCGTGGAAAGTTATTTCAAATATTTGATCGTAGAAGTCAAAAATTTAATCATGGGGATAGTCTGGTACGAGAAAACGAGCCCACACAAAAGTTTTTCGATGTTTTCATCTTCCCATCTAAAAAAATCTACTCTAGCGTCAAGGACCGCAACGCTTGACGAAAATCTGCACAAAGCCTCAACATCAGCAAGTATTTTTGAAGGAGCAATGCCGGCTTTCACAAATATATTCTTGTTCGTTTCGCAAACAGGAAGCCAGCGTTTTTCCTGCATCAAATAAAGAGGCAAACGTTTCTGGCCTTTTGACAGAGGTTTCAGTTGATCGAGTATCTTGAAATTTCCAGAGAACGTTGACGTTCCCGGTACGACCTCTCCATTCGAAAAAGCACTAAGTAGCACTTCGAGACTCCCAGCAGTCAAAAAGCTTGGAATATAGCATTAACATAATCTGCCGGAAAGATCTGTAAGAGGTATGATGTGCTTTATGTAGGGAAGGTCTACAAATTTGATCTGGTCGTTATGCTTTGAAAGCTAGATCTGTGAAATAACCTCAAGCAACTTCTTCGGTTTTTCCGTATAAGCCAACATTTTACCGAATTATAACTTATATATTTGCGGAAGTGTACCAAGGGTAGTATTCGGCGTTGATTTGAGAAACTCAAATATTCTTAGCGTTTGAAACTCTGCAGCATTGTCTGTAAAATTAAATGGAACACAAATGTTGAAAGTATTGGTCTATTCTAAAAAAAAAAATAGTGAAGTCTTACTTATAAACCATCCTTTACAATTCCAGAAAGGGTTTGAGCAGTAGATAGAAAAAAAAAAAACTTTTTAACTGGAGAAACAATTTTCACAACCTTATTATTCTTTATAGGACCATGAAACATGTTTGTATGAAATAAATAGAACAGGATAATAGTAAAACAGGGTAATGCTACTGTCATCAGTTTATGTTAATTAATGACAAACTTTTGATATCTAACGAATAACAGTTGACACCAAAAAAAGCATAGATATTCTTGCTGAGATATCTGTCGAAACGAAATAGACTCAACTTCGGTATAAATGTGAAAAATAGTCGATAATGGAGTAACGTCGTAACGTAATAGATTGCTAAAAAACTGTATTGACCCTTGCTCAACCGCCATTTGACAGATAACTTATTCTTACTTTTTACTTCTGATAATCAAGATTCGATATTTCATAAAGAAGTCACATCCGTATGATAAAGTCTCTGAACCTTTTCGTTTTACAAAATAAGGGAGCCGCACGTATCGCTCGATCCTCCTATCGCTTTATAGTAATGATCCAAAAACAAAACGATATTTTTGTTAGACATTAGTCGAAGCTGGAAAAACATTCTGTACAAGTTTTCGCCGATTTCAGGTCAAGAAACGTGGTACACCTTTCAACACAGGCGAGATATCATAATGAAAAAATAAATATTATGACACTACATTTACAGAAAATTACCGCTTCCAAAAAGCTGTCCATATGTCCTGTGAATCCAGAAGATCTTCTGAGTGCTATTTTATGATATAAAAACCTTCTCAGGAGTAGAATTTGTTATCTGAATATCTTCCTTGGATGATATAGTGACATGACAACTTGCCTTCAATACCTTCATTCGTCAACAGAAGCCTGAAACGGTAGAAGCACCAAGACATCCGGCCTTTCCGTATAAGCAAGGATCAGAATGAAACAGCCTTTACTCAAATCTGAGGCTGTAATATATAGGTTAGAAACCCAGACAGAATACATCATTTAAGGAGCTCCGAAATGAGAGCTTTCAGACAAGAGGACAGTAGGATCAACTTAAGATCAACCTGGCTTCTTGAATTTTACAAATGGACACTTAGGATTTAATAAGAAAGATTGCGTGGAGATTGCGGAATGGAAAATAAATGTAATACAGGGTGTTAATTTAAGAGCGCTACAATTGAGTCTATTACTTTGAATAAAACAAAAGGGGAAAAGCCCTTGTCGTATGTTTCTAATTTTAAGAAAATAGAGATAGAAGCAATGGGTGAAACTACAGTTGGAAAGTTACTCCATATGAAATGAGTTACGCACTTTAATCTTTGCGAGGAAACCTAAAAACACAAGACCACAAGCAGTCACATAATCTAATACGCTGACGAAAACAAAAACGCACACCCGAGGGTAAAAAGAAAATGCCACATCGCTTGTATAGAGCCAAGCGTAAAGGTTTCTTCTGTAAAGGCAAGAAAAACTAAGTCCAAAAAAGCATATATCTCTTGGCTTTGGTGGGCAATAAACAACTAAAGGGGAATTACAGGGGACTACAGACTACACCTTCATAAAGAGGTAAATATAATTGTCAGCATCCAGCTTTTGGGAAGCCACGATTAAAAAAAAATTAATAGCTAGTGCATTTGGTGTTTTAATGTGGTAATACGGGCGTAGTGTAATCTACTCGGGAAGACGGATATCTAACCTTTTTTTTAATCTTTCGGCATTTTGGCGAGCTCGAGTCTAGAACAGCTTCAACGGCCGAAACAATGTCGCTCTCAGAAATCGTCACTCCAGAAAGAGCTAACATCTTCGGAGATTACCGAGGTAATTCAAGGTAGCCTTGTATATACTTTTGTACATATCTGATACTTTACAAATTTTTACATAATTTCGTTGCAGCATAGAGGTGACATTCCTGCCCACGATGTTCAGTGGTCCTTAAGGTTATGTTAGTCAATTTCAGACACAACACCAAGTCAGTGATCGAAATAAGCAAGCGAATATGCTAAGCAAGAATGTATTGTCGTACTCAAATATACTATAGCTGTTCACTTTAAAATAAAACGCGTCTGAATGAGAGGCATCGACTCACTCAGGATACGGTTCTAATATTATACTATAGTATATGTTAATTTTTAATTCTCAGGTAATATTCTAAATCAGTTTTTCGCACTTGCGATATTTACAAGATTAACGTTCTTGTCTCAGTGTAACGACAGATCTAGAACATCTGTATTATGTACTCGTAAAATGCTCCGAAGAAAAAATGTCGCCTGCTTTAATTTACGAGCTACATCATGTCACTGATAGCATATATTAGATGTTATATATAATCCCATACGTTATTGATATAATAAATTCCCACTAATACTATATATTATATATACCTTTTAGCAAAGGCACACTTGACTGATGCATGGACTGAAATAAGACGCTGAAGCAGTCATAGATATCACCCAAAACTTGACCGCCACAAACCAAGCGATCATAGTGGTAAAGGCATTTGTTAACCGAATATGGGTACTTTTTAAAGAGTTTTGTGCGTGAGCAATACCTGATGTTAATTTTGTGTCTAAAGAATCTCAGGCCTTGATATCAGCGGTGCCATGTAGGCCCGCCAATTACAACTTGAATTCGACATAAAGCTGGTGGTACCTGTCAAAAAAAGTCAAAGAAGACCAGGCAATGCATCAGTTTTGAGAGGTTACACATTCAACGGTTATCTACATAACCTCGCTAGGCAATGCAGACAAAATACAATAAGTGTCCGTTCTTTAAAATTAAAACGCTAGAAACATCTGCGGATGGTCTATAGCTAGTGTATTATTGATGCTCATATTATTTACAGAAATGCAATAGAAATTCCGTAGGTCTTTGACTAACGCATATCTATTCAAGCTTACAGAATCAAATCCTAACCAGCGTTTCACATACATAACTAACAATACCACATTTACCACTTTGGTGATTATCAAAGTTTTGTAGTAAAAATATTTGTAGAGCTCAACATCTTTGACATTAGTTTGTTATTGCCAAGTAATAGATTAAGGTGACTACTCAATTTATATTTCCACTTAGACTGTTGCCTCTACCTAAAGGATTGTTTTACTCGAAGTTTAAATGAAGCTGCCAATAAAATTATATTTACGACAAGAGTATATGGAATCCAGTGTACCAGCTTTAATCCAGAAGTCACACAGTTCAATGAAACAAATTGCGGGTAATTTTCACAAAACACGTATTGAACGTCAGAAGGAAATTAAGTCTAGGTGCGCAATTCTGACCTGCAGGTCAAGATACTGATTTATTCTGACCATTACTCTCGGATTTTACCATCGGTTATATGCCTATTTTAGGCATGCAATAGCCGGATTGACAGCTATTGCATAAAATAATCAACTCAATTTAGAGAAATTTTAGAGCAAACCTAAATTATACTCCACCTGCAAAATGATTGCAAATCGTTTTATTTTTGTTAATATCTATAGGGCGTTAGTTGGGCAGCTTTTTTTTATGGTGTTTACTCAAGTATTGTTTTAGAAATTAAGCTAGTCCGTCTGTAATTATTCGGAGAAGTACGAAGTACTAGCAGGACACCATGATTTCGAATAATATAAAAATTGTGCTCCCTGTGTATGGTAAAACGCTCTAGCTAACTAACAACAGAATATGTCAGATGCACGAGATCTGTTCTATTTTTACCTTAAAAAGTTCAGCGATTTAACCACAAATATAGTAAATAGATACACATGTACTACAGAGTAATGGCACTTCGGACTGAGCTAGTTTGAAAACAAAAACCAATGCAGTTCCTTCGTCTACAGACCGAATATACTGAGGCAGCACAGATGGGCAGGCATGTTTCGTTGGCGAGTACCCTGCCCCTATTGGCTATTTTTTTAACTTCAAAATGGCTTCACCCGACACTGTCGGAGTTTAAGACAATATTTAATGTTTCTAATTCAGAATCTTGTTTGAACCCTCGGCCTGAACCAGCACAGGAAATGAATTGCTGTGACGATACCAGGAATCGATGTAAATATCAATAATTACGTCAGAGAGATCCCACAAAAAGAACTTGACATCGTATTTTTCTAGTAATCTAATGTCAGAGCTCTTTCTGAATCAGAACTTAAATACCTAGTTTACATCAGAACCATAGCATTCTGAAATGTTTTGCAGTAGCAAAAAGTGCACCAACATTGATGCCGTATTTGGTCACAGGTTCGCACATCGGTAAAATTATTTGATTGAACAATTGATCTTTGACTCTTCTACTTATGCCGATTTCCATCAGTTTCTGCCAACGGGTGGCCAGTTCATTCGCAGGTTTTTGCTGGTAATCTTTACATATCTGTCATTTAGCGGATGTGAGCCATTTCTAGCATGTGCTCGGAGGAAAACATTCCACCAAGGCCGACACTTGCTACCGGGGTGCTGCGAACAGGTGAGTGCACTTTTATTTGTCGCAAATGTGTATCCCGACCGTTTTGGTGATTTGACAAAATCTGAAATTAAAAGAAACGAAAATGCGCAAATGCGTCAACACTGTGGAGTTCCAAGCGTTCTTAGGCACAGCGATTTTATTACACTCCTCTGCTTTACTTTGCATCGTGGTAGTAGGCAGGCTCCTGTATCATAGACACAGCAATATAAAGCAGTTCTATCTTTATCAATAGTGATATATCTGTAATGATATCATTCGAATACTAACGGCAATCTGTATGAAAAATGTTTTTATAGGCTGTCGGTTATTCTGCAGGATCGGAATATTAACCCAACCAGATGGCTCCTGCAGTTCAACAACGTCAAGCTCCTGCAGATCGTGGAAGTGCGATCCTACACGAACTGAGATCCTGAAAATATCATCATATTAATAAAGCTGTCGGAAAAACACACGTAGAAACGTAGCTATGTCTAGAAGCTTGAATTATTAGTTACTCTGTTCGCATTCCATTTATTTATATTGTTGCAGTGTTATAGGTATTAGTCCTAGCGAATAACCATACCGAACGTTTTAATACAAAACGTAACCTCCGCCATATTTTTCCTAGTTATGCTGAGCAGTAGTGTACGCGTACATATAGCGATTCGTGCTAAATTCAAAAAATATTAAACCCTCCTTCTACTTATAATATCGTCATATGACATATTTCAATGGCTACACTATACCGAACGAAAAACACTCCAGTAACCTGCGAAAATAGGACGCTAGATCTACCTCTGACCGGATATAAACTACTTAAACAACCGGCGACTTCAAAAATACAAATCATAGGAAAGCTCAATAATCAAAACTACCTCAATAATTCGAATCATAGTGGAAACTGTAGAAGTTAACTGTGTGAGTCGCGTGAGAATATTTTTATGAACGTGCCCTGACACCGCCTAAGGTAATCTATGTTGCGGTAGAGACGGACACGGTCGTTCATAAAGGTACACACATTCATGGAAACACTTGCCGATTTGGTGTGTAGCTCTCGTCAAGCTTGAAGTCTGTGTATATTGATAACTGATCGACCAAAGTTTTTCGTCGAAACTGGATATTAACAAGATGAGGTTGGGGCCCATCAGACTGCCAGTACGTTTCAGTGTTATTATCTCGCAGCTGGTCTACGCCGAAGCCTGTCAAGGGAACACAAAATATGCACGTTGTAAACATATTTCTTTTAGTAAAAATGCTACGAAAAATAGAGCACTTGAAGTAGTACACTCAATAAGGCTATTGAGGATTCATCCAACACAGACCAGTTTCTGACAGAAAATCCATTTGTAAATATTACTTTCTAGTCTGAAGGTCAAACAAGTTTTGCTCAGCAATTCCATAGATCCTTGCCAACAATCCAATATCCATTCGTGCGTTTTGCATTTTGCATAGACAAAGACCCTTTCTCACGAAAGAGCAGACGTTAACTAGGGAAGTGAAGTTTGCGTAGCCTTGATCTAAACCGTTGAATTTATCTGTCATAAAAAATCCGAATTACCATTAAAGCTATGTTCTAGTTTAAACGCGCACGTCATTCAAAATGACAAAAAAATAGTTACACTCGAAAAACATAGGAATAATAAAGAAGTAATTAATCAGCTGTTACAATATTTTAGTTCGTGCAATTTGCAAGTATAATTTTTCTAACACCATGTCTTACATCGTCACGCTAAAGTCAATCGCTGTGCGGTTTACAGAGTGTCTAGACAGATCAAAGTGTTTGAAAATTACACACTTTGCATAATCGCAGTAAGCATGAACGACTGTCCCATCGCATATATATATACCGATTTATGCGTCGGTGACTATTGATATCAACTAAATGAGTCGAGTGTACGCAAACATGAAAGCTCTGTTTTATAGAAAAAGATATCTAATCTGCGTATAAGTTTAATTCTGCAGTAGTACATAGTGATAAATATTGACACGGTATGCACGTTGACTTCTAAGCATGAGTAGCAGGAACGATACCGTTGTATGACTATCAATGGGACATCCACAGGCGTTGCGATTGATAAGCTGACTTTTGAAGAGTATTACATAATGTTTGTATTGAACTCTTTTTCACCTACAGATGCCGAAAACTAAGGTAAAAAGATTTGACTCTCAAGACACCTTTTTGGAAAAGAGAAGCTAAGGTCGAAAAACGTGCGACCTTTAACTATGGCCTGTACTAACATTTCATCGTTAGACCTATCTTTGCAAATTAGCGCAGTGAAATAAACTAACACAAAAGTCGAGAGAAGCAACGTTGAAAGCGGCCATCATCCTTGATGTGCTGCGTTCGATAAAGTTGCTTATGTTGTTTAAATGCGCTTATAAAAAATCTAAAATCTTATACGTGCTGCTTACGTATAAAAAATATACGTACAATAATGTGTTTAGAATAAAAATAAAAGTGTCACACTACAGTCAGTTGGGATCAACATTTCGTCACCACTCTAGGTACGTTGTAAATTGTTAGCAGCTAACAGGTTGTATAAAAAGAAATCTCCTATTGGCGACGCAAAAACTCTCATTAGCTTGGGCCGACGGACACGTATCAGCCTCAACAAATGTTTCATGCGAAAGTATACGTCGAAATTACGGTGCGTTCAAATTTACAAAAGCTAGTTTTTTATAACTAGTTTAGTTTAGTTTTTTATAACTAGCACCTGAAAAAACGTCGATTTTTATGCAACAAACAACAATACATGGAATCCGAAATCACTACAACGCTAATCCTTCTTACATAAAGTTAACCAAGTAACAGCGTTCATGTTCATCCGCCACAACCTTCGTCCAAAGACTGTTCAGGTCAGCTAAGCATCAATCCAGGTCAGGCGTCTACGATGCGATAGAATCAAGCCTTACAACTCTACCGATGCTACTCACCTGGCTTGCAAGAGGACAGCGACCAGACGGCCTGGTCGCCGACCTCCCTGCTCCCTCCTGAGGACTCGTTTCTTTCCTCTACGCGACTGACTGCTGCCGAAGGGGTTTTTGACATTATTTGCGGCAGCGAACAAACCCCCGTAAGTTGTGGCACCTGTCTCCGCTGACAAATAGAAAAATATCGGATACGTTATCCGGGATTATCGTTATTATTATTAATGAAAAAACCATTAAAGTGTCCATTCAGCATTGTTTAAGTAAAAGCGTTCAACTATTGCTATTATGAAATATATTTTATTTAAAAAATATAGAATCGGCAACAAGCGTTTGACCACAATCATGGGTATTAAGTGCTTTTCGCAAAAACTACAAAACTTCTCTTGGATGTGTTTTTAAAATACTTCTCATCTACATGTGTCCTAGATTTTCAACGCAGGCTCTCGGTATGTGGCAACAACGGAGTGTTTTTGGCATCGCCAAAGAAGGTTAGATAACGTTACAATATACATAATATTTTAGTCATTCTTCCAAATTACAAAATGGAAAATTTGCTTTACAGGAGTTCTGCAAAAATCAACTGCTTTTGATTACTATTCTACTTGACCCTTTGCTCTAGGAATATCGACTGCTGCTGGGAATGTAAGTCGATGTAATAAATACATCGTGTTTTTATATTGAACACCCTAAATGATGCAGTTCCAGGCAAAAGACTGCTCTGAGTCAGTCGTTTTACTGCATGCCATTGCTGAAACGGTGTCAAGCCATAATCGATCAAAGTGCTCGTATAAAGTAAGTTCTAAATTACTAACATCTTTGAAATAATTTAATAACAGACGAGAAGAGAAAATCCTATGTAGTGTAAACAAAATAGGTAGACGATTGCCCTTCTCAATGCTGAAAAAGCAGTAAGGTTGGTTGCTCACTTCGACAGGTGGCAATGGTTACAAAAAATACAATTTGTCATATAAAGTGATTTATACTTAACATGTAACACTTAATAAATGGATTTATCTATTTCTGAGAATATCTAGTAATTTTCGCGACTCATAAAAAAATACTCACTATTCTTCGTTAAAGCTTAGCACTTCTGTAGGATGATATCCCGACAGATAACAGCGAACATCAACTCGAGGTCTTTTCAGCAAGATGGATTCTTCACTTCAGTTTATGTAAATTCTCGAAATTTTGCAAATTTAGTTTAGCAAATCCTTAAAAACATACTTTGTATCCTGTAGTCCTAGTTTCACTACTATATCCGCCCCAATACCATTTACCTCGAATCTTTCAACAACAAAGGCTATAACAAGGACAACCTTCGATAAAGTTTCGTATCAGCACAGCACTCTGGAACAACACACTTCGACCAATTGTACCAGTGCAAAACACATTTGCTAACGCATGTCCCGACCCGGCGCGTTCCGAGGACAAAGGAACACAAGAACATGCATGTCCAAGTTCACGCGGCTTCCGAATCAGTCCCGATGGAACCGAATGTGAGAGTGCAAATCCTCGGAGTGTTTGTTTACCAATTTTGTCGTCTGCTAATTTGAATCGAGAGAATAAATAATGTCAGGCCCAGTAGCGCCAAGAATGCTAATAACGAAAATTCGCATTGTGAAGGTTGAATTTGACTATTAATTGCGTTTCTTTGGAAGTTCGCTTATTCAGAGTGAGAAAAAAATAAAACGAATCGTATCTCTATCTATTAGTAACACAACAAAATTTTTACTTAGAACTTACTATGCTTGTTCGGTTCATCTGATAGCAAAATTAGCTGCAAGCAACAGCAAAACGATCGTTACGTGTTTATAAGTTAACCCAAAAACAAATCGAGTGAAATCAATAGAGCTTCCATAATGGACAACAAGGATATTGCAGGTGGGTAAGATTTGATGTAAAGTTGTTCGACAAGTGGAAGTTGAAATTGTGGTTAATCATTGTTATATTCTACTATTTGATGAGATGGTTGTAAATGCAAGTATTCGTTGCTAACAAAAAAAAAGTACGTGAACTAAGTTACTTTTAACATTGTAATAACATAATAAAAAATTGCTTTGTTTTATACGCTGTGAAATTTAGTTTAACCTCTAAGGAAATATATTTAGTTGTACGAAAACGCTGCTCATTGAAACAGCATTGGTTTACTGTTCTCATTATTAAAAAAAAGATGCTAATATTTCTTTGGTCGCAGTCCTTCTTGCTTCTAAAATGCCTTTCTTCTAGCCTCTGCCTTGTTAACTTACTTTCGGTTACCTAGACCATCGAGTAGGGCGTGGTATATATATATACTGTAATCATATACGTGATACGGAATGAAATAAATGAAATTATATCCAATAAGAAGACCAATTGCGTCATCTCGGGCTTCCTGTGACTTACAGCACGTAATATAGCCTCTCTAAACTTTTTTTGATAGGCACGTGCAGAATTATACAGGTGTTCTTTGATGATATCCACTTTAGCAGAGCATTTTTAAATATCGCAAGCGCTTCGAAGCCTTTTAAGGCAATAAAGTTACCTGTTGAAAGGTATATTATCTTTCCGATCGCTTCGCCTAATCTATGTATTCGTAATTTATGTAGTCTATATATCATATGTTTTGTATATAACATTCGTATATAACATTTTTATGTAGCTGTATTATAATTTTTCTAATTCTTTGACGATGTTTCTGCATATTTCTTTGGGTTGAACAGGATTTACTAGATACGGGTAATACTTCATCAACAAAGAACGGTTTTGGGGAAGAGCAATCGATTTTAACTTCTTTCTTTAATCTCTTTTTGAGTATTGCCTAAGGAAAAAGAGGGCGAAAGTTTTTCACTTGAACTATTATTTATTTTGTATAACAGAAAATCTGTAGATATATATATTACAGGATTAAGCTGTTACTATTATATATCCAGATGCAAAAGGGAGTATTTTTCAATATCGTAGGTGTCACTAAATGTGTCAGTAAAACTACCGTTTCGGACGACGGGCTTTACTCACCCTCTTGTCGTTCTGGTGTTGTGGATATGGCTTAATTAATTTACAGACCGTTGAGGCGGAAGAAAAAAGCAATAGGTTTCATCGGAAAATGCGATGAGCGAATGATTAACGAATTATTTGATTTGCTGTCTATACAAAGACATGACTAACATTTTGTTGACATGCCCAACATATTGTGACTCAACATAACTCAATTAGCAGCTTTAGAACAAGGTTTCTAGTCATTTTATGATGAAGATAACGTAGTTTTCAATGCTCCCGATCATTACGTATGTTAAAGGAATTCACACTTAGTAGGTAGTCGAAAACTTTTTTATGGCACAAACGCAGCGTACACTTCTTTGAGAGGTTCGTCTGAAAATTTTCCTTGACACCTCTGTAATTCGTTGCAATAACAAAGAGCTGATCCCAGGTGCGACTAGGGAAAAGAATGTACCCTTTTCGCGTATAGCGTCAGCTACAGACATTACTACCTGTTACATGTAATGGGTACATATTTGAAGCTCTTTACTTATTTCTCATGGATCAAATCGTAAACTCGAACTTGTTCGAGTAGTTATCATCCTATGTGAAATACTTTATAATTTATTATTTCATATATTCTATAATCTTTTATCCTATCTTTATGGTAATAATATACTGTGCATGCTCATTTTACAACCTGGTTAACTTCATAATTAGGTATTTCTCATATATATTACAATATCGTAAACTGGGTAACTTCGGTACGATAGACCAAAGTCTATCGAGACCTTGTGGAACTTCATTTTTAGATATCAAATAAGCAGCATGTGAAGCCGGTGCAAAGCCGTCACTAAACAATTGATTACGCGAGTTTTTTTTTATACCTGTGGCAACTGATCTAAGCGTACGTTTGACTTGTCCTTTGCCCACGGCCCAAAATAGTCGAAGCGAGAGGATCAATGACAGGAACAAGGTAATTGGAGTCCAATAATAAACGGTGCACAATAGCAACTGACAACAATCAATCATTATGTTTTCGCTCCGTCAGCTGAATTTACATTCAGCTCCTACAAAAACACAAATCATTCCCGTTTACAGAATACATACTCGCCGACCTCTATATCAAAGGGTTTCTACACAGAAAAAAAACATTAATTTGGGATATAAAAATGACGCAGGTTAATGAAAACTAAATGATGAAGTAGTATTCTGAACTGTACTGATGAACAGACACTGAAGCTGTGCAATCCAAATTTTCTATATCTTTTTATTTCAGAAACTTCAGCTTTGACTGAGTCAACATCAAACCCAAGAACTAAGCGACGATCTTCTTCACGAAGAGCCTCATTCAATCCGCGACAATCTCTTGCTTCCTGTGAGATTTTCTGTGGCAGTCCCGCTGCTTTGAAGATTTACAAGGTACAAAAAAAATGTATTAATTTCCTTTTACAGATTGGCACTTCTGTTTTTTGATCGCGCATATTCTCTTTTTGTGTATTGAGGTCTCAGGTGCGTCTTTTCGAGTTTCCCAGCAATTGAGATTTCATTTTTGTCTTTGAAGAAAAAGATAGTTTTTCAAGTTCTAATATAGATTCCATTTTGTCCATCCATAATTCCTTAAATCATTATAGAATGGTATTGGTTAATTAAAACTGCTGTAGGAAGCATTGAATATCTGCACTATAATTAATATGTTTTCGTTAATTCGTTTTCTACACGCAGAATATGAGAGAGGCTATGAAGGGACGATTCGAAGCCGCTAAGAAACTTATATCGGAAGCCGAGTCAGAATTAGGTCTTGAATCAAATAAGGTAGGTAGGTGGCAGTAATCCAGCAAAACTATAAGGGCAGTAAAACCTAGTTACATGGACATATTACTTGTTTCTTTATTACAAGAAATCCGTGATGCTTCATGACTTTATAAAACATAATCGGGACACTCTGTAACATTTTGTAATCTTCTAGATTAATCCGATTAGGATCAATTTAGAAACGCATATAAATGCCGCTTATATCTAAGATATCAAAATTAGCATAAGCGAAAAGTGTGGATAGAACTTACTTAGAGCATACTTAAAGCTGGGAAGGCGTCATTTATTATCCACCTGTATATATATACTAAGGGTGGTTTGCTGTTTTTCTTGTTACACATACTGTACTTCAAAGCAGCTGGCGGAACTGTATAGGCAGATGAAGTCCCTTGAGCTCTCTTTTGGCACGGAAGGCGATGTGCTGGAGGAAGAGCTGCTATTCATACTTGCTGACCTAACGAATCGTGCTGATGAGCCGTTGGAGCAAAATCCATTCAAAAAGGCTCGACTTGACAACCAACCACCTGGTTGCCTTATCTCACCGGTAACTGAGGTATGTGGTACTTCAGGTTTTTTCAGTAATTTAAGTAGGTATTACCGGGGTTAGCTCACAATATTATATTTTCAGTTTATTATAGTGGTGCGCATTAAACAGTCACATTGAAAAGTATTATGTTTCTTCCTTTAGCTGCTTTCCCTTTGACATGCTCACAGGTACGTGGGATTTATCTGCTTTGTTGATTGAACGCTCGAAACCTACTCTTCTTAATATCACCTACTGAGGCTACGATGCGTTTTCTTGCGACATTCTTCTAGATCGCAAAACGGCTTGACGAATGGAGCACATCGGACGGCGTGCAAGAAATTCAACGGCAAATAACCCTGGATCCATTAGAGGGACTCCATAAAACCGTTAGTATGAAGTTTTTCTCATCCTATATGTCGTCGTACTCATACTTCTTAGCATGTATATCTCCGGTCATTTACAGTGGAAATTTTCCAATCAGTTTGAATATCTAACCTAGTTACAGATCATTAATTTACATTGTCAGTAAACCATCACTTGATCGATTTGCAAAAACCAATTGTTATTTTATTCAATGTATGCACTTTTTTTATTTAAAGGTTAGCGCGGACTCAGGGAAAAACACTTTACTGCACACAGGGCCAGATACTTTCGAACGGGAACAAGCCCTCATACAGAAAGCAAAAAGTGATAATGCAAAGCTTGCAGCTGAACAAAAAGAAACTTTGCTTAAAAGAAGAACTCAGCGACTGAATGCGCTACCCAGCCACGTGATTACCGTTGAAAGACTGGCAAAGTTCTTAGCCGGAACCGTTATGTAGATGTGGCTGAAAGATACCGCCTGACAAACAACTAAAATATAACACCTAATTAGCTTTATATATACGCATATGATACTGTTTACGGTCCTACTCAGAACACAGCTTTGCACTCCTCTACTTTGTCGATCACACCCTAGTAAAATGGCTTCTAAGTATAAAGGTCTCATTGCAATAAGGTCTCTGTATTGCAATTCAATAAATACGTGATTCATTTGGTTTCATTTAGTATGTATCGGTGAAACAGCGAATTTGATTCATCAAGCTGGCTGTCGGTGAGCTTCAAATAATACGTTTTGTGCTTATCACATATTTTCCACAAAGAGCGGGACCTCTGAGGATCCTTGTTTTCCGTCAAACTGTTGCTAATAATAATGCTGGAGCCGTTTTATATGTCTGTACATAATATTAGTACATCATACTGGCTTGAGATAAAAGCAGAATTATTCATTTATGAAATTTTCGAATAATTTTCTATGAGTAAATATGCTATGATAATACAATTGGACTGTCGTTGTTATATTGTAGTCAACATTTGCTTATAAGGACTAGATTATAAAAAGATCAAAGCTTATTTTGATCAACTGACTGATTTAAATATGCATTGACATTTGTATATGAGTACGCATTATTTATACCATGTGATACTCGTATTACATATACGAATTGGTAGCAAATAATGAGATATGTTAAAAAGGCCACAATATTAACTAAGGGCTATATTTGCTTACCACAAAATATAAATAAAGCTTATTGTATAATTTAGACAAGAAAGCTTTTTATCACGTAGGATAAATAAATAATAATAATGCAAATAATTGCACCTTTGGTAACTCTGTAGAATACGTAACTTTTGTCGTACCAAGCAAATACTCAATATGATCACTGTCTTAAATGCACTGCTGATAACGGCGGGCTATCGATTTACAAATTTCAACAAAAATTTAATCTAGTTTTGCGGCATATCCTCGTTCTGTTAATCCGCTAATATTGTCAGGTTTGAAACGTAGACTTAATCTCGAAAATGTTTCCATAAGAAAAAGTGCACTGACGTCAGGTCCGGAAGATAAGACTCTTTCGTCTAGCCCATTCATGTGAAAGATCCTGTGCATCCTGTTAATTTTTATGCGTACCATTTGCAAAATTATTTTCGGGTTCAGATCCGGGAATGTACCATTTCTATTTATAACGCCTTAAACTACAACAGTTGATTTACTAATGCTAGGCATACGATTGCATTGAATGAATCATTGACTGACTGAAGTATTGATTGTCTTAAAGACTCCTGGGATTTTTTGCTATAATTCTTTAATATTTTTTCTTAACCAAAGCTTTATAATAGTTTCCGGAACATTTCCTATGACCATTTTGAACAGTTACATTCGTCTTCTTGTGTGTATCTTTAATGCGATTTGGTAAATTACGTAGGTGAATCTCCATGAAATTCCTTACAATATTGGCTTTGTACTGCTACTACACTTTCGTGTTTCCAAAAGCATTTTACGTATACATTTTTGGTCTAAAATTTAATCGTCGTCTACTCATTATTTCCAATTAAATACACCATGAAATTTTCTGGTTTGTTGTTGAAAGCTCGTCCGGCTATGTTTTGGAACTTTCTTTATCATCAAACGTCGATTGCGAATTTCATTTGCAAATAATCGGAAGAAGTAAATATTAGGATTATTAAATGTTTCGGAATGGACATCAGATTCAACTGTGGGCTTATCCTATCAATGCCACAGTGTCGAGTTCGCTCTCATTGCTCCAGATGGATCACAGCATGAAGTCACATCCTAACTCGTGAACTTTCTGCCGTTTTGTTAGGTATGCCTAAAGACATCGGTTACGACGATGAAAGGCCTGATTCCCCATTTCTTTATCAATGCTCAGGTTATAACAGAAACAGTGGCTAAAAACTAAAGTGCAATAGAGTAAAAAGACAGTTGTTAACAGCATATTGACATATTTAAGGATAATTGACCTTTATCAACTCTAGGTACCGTAACTTGTTAAAAATTCAGTCAAGGATGACCCATATTGAAGTGTCCTACTAAATGTCTGTGAATATACTGAATGTAGCTTTTAGACTGGCATTCTTAAACCCTTAGGCAATAGCATTTCTACGCAGTTTTGGACAATCGAGGGTTGCCTTCCAGATATGCATTGGATGGCTTCTTATTATTGGAAGTTATTGAGCTTCTATTGATATTCTCCTCGATTAAGATTTGTACGTGTATCAACAATATTTAATGAGCTATATCCGAATAAAGGTGTTGTAAAGAAAGTTCTTCATTAAACGTAGCAAACTCGTAAAACAGCGCACGTTTTTAGCAATATGGCAAGATAACCTTCTTTCAAGGGCCGTGCATTCACGAAGATCATTCTATTAGGTCCAATTTTCACAAAAATACTCTTTATTGGCGATAAACCAGTCCATGTCGTCATACAATTGCTTGTATCATAACGTAGTCGCGGTAGCGACTCATAGCTAGTATCAGACATGTTTTAAGCCAATTTTCATTCAACGATTCTTTTTCGGTTTCAAATAATTTTTTTCCCTTCAAAAAAAAATTCAAATAATTTTATCTTTCTCCCCTCTGGAGATTCGTCGTTACTTGGGCGGGCCTTAGTAGTGCAGACTCTGCGGGGTCTGAAGCACTAGCTCCAAACTTATTCATAAAACGCCGTCTGTTAACATTATTTTAATCGTCTGGTACAAATAAGGCAATATTGTTCATCACCTACAAGCCCAGTGCTTAGGAAAGCGATTTTAGTAACGAGCCATCGGCAAATCCTGGCGGTTTTCGCATATATTTTTGTATTTGGTGTTGACTTTCCGAGCGCGAAGTTTGAACATTTACGGCGAGCAGGATTTACGAGTGTTAGTACATTGCTTGTAGTTTAGTAGAAGAAAAAGAATGTCGTCTTTCACAAATATACCAGAAATTTCGTTAAGTATTCGGAGAAGAGGCTTGTAGATAAGCATCGGTGGTTCTCGATGTGCCCTCTCATACTGATTGTGAAAGGTGATCAGTGTAAGCTTTCCATATTCTGCAAGACCTCTAGAGCAGTTTCTAAATGTTTTAGGCAAGCTTTGAATAGGAACATTGATATTCGGAGAACATGCGTGCCATGTCATTTGAATATTATTCTTTTTTAACAGATACAATACTGTTTTTTATTTCTAAGCTCGAGATTCCATAGAAAAAATTCGTCGACAAACATTGGTGTTCCCTATACAGTCTCTGGAGCTGATTGTACAATGCCGCTGTTTTATTTTTTTCAGAATCTACCAGATCTAAAATATGTTCAGACCCTTTCCGCAATGTGTCAGCGTTGTCGATGGTCGAAACTCGTGAGAAAAATTAAGATTCGAAGGCTTACATTGTAGAAACCGCAAAGGCGTCTGTTGCGGTGACCACAGGTGCTGCGACAGATATGTCGGTGGACACGCTGATCTTTGTCTGTGGGGTAGTTTACTGCGTCTGATTTTGAAGTAACGAGAAATACGATTTTTTGTTTTTATTAAAAGCGACAGGTACCTTGGATTGCCGCGAGAGAAATTTGCTTTCATAACCGAAAAACATATTCATAATTGCAAAATTGGGCATCTCTCTAAGAAGTGAGAATATATTGCCCTGAGGCATCGTTTTTTCAACATCTATAATAACGCAAGAATTAAGTTACAAAAGCATTAATTTTTTCATAACTACCACCTAATAACGCCAAATTTACTTTAAAGGACCCGTCAATATGTTAGCGCTTTGAAAAAGCAGCATTCAAAATTTTGGTTTTTTGTTTTTTACATCTCAGGACAATAAGATAGACAGCTAAATTGAACTTCAGAAGCGTTACTTGGGATAGGGCACGCTGTTCGTCAGCCAGCGACAAGTGAACACTACCCAGACAGCGCAATGATTTAATTTAACTTTGAGTGAAAGTTCAGCATGTGTTGTAACTATTAAAAACCGGTTAGCTATATTTTAGCGGGAAAATTCACCACTACTTTGTAATCCACGTACTTGACGTTCTTAAGGATTCAACGATTAACTAAGGCACTATTGGGCAAATATGCATTTCAACTTGCTAATCAGTAAGTGATTCAAAGGGTAGTTTAGAGTAGGCAACGTGTATACAAAAAATAGGAAAGGCAAAAATGTAGGTTCTCTTTGAATTGAATAAACTGACGCACTGACCTTATTGAATTATATGTCAGAAAAGGGTACTTTCTGTATTGGGTTATTGGTACTAATGCTACGATCCATAATGAAAAATATTGTGGGTTTATTCAAGTCAACTAAGGTTTTTCCAGCCAAATTGTTCAGTGGAATATTAAAAAAATGAAACTCGTAAATGCTCATAAAACGGCAACGATGTGAACGTCAGCTGACTAAACTGAGCAGTTCAATCGAAGAAAACAAAAAGAAACTTTAAAGTGATTTACTTGCATAAAACGGCGGTCTCAGTGCAAGAGATGAACTCAAGCTGGAAAGTTCTTCATTCAGCCTACTGGTTGGTTCCACTTATTGCTAGACCTGTTCTCCACGCTAAAACTTATTCTACTAGAAATGAATGGAAAATTGGTGCCGACAAAAATTGCTGACTATCATCTTTTATTGCTTTGTCGTTAAATGAGTTCATTTTAGCAGCTTTTATAACCTCGTGAATGGATATGACAACCATTTTGATGAAATCACTATATTTTCATAGTTATCCTTGAAACACTGCTAACGGTTATCCACAGGGATACATGTTGGACGCTTTATCTATCTCGGTTTTCATATAAGCACCTTTTATCTAAATTTTCTGTAGCCTGAAGCTTGCTAAATAGAGCTGAACATTATCCTGCTATTGAGGTAATACAGAAAAAAGATTACAGTCAGTCTGATGGGTCGGTAGTAATGTAGATACCCGATAAACTTAGAAACATGTGAGGTAGGAACATTGTTTTGCGTGGCCGGCCATTGCAGTACTACTTCAGGCAGCTGACCGGCCACGTGGCAGTTTAGTAGACTTGGCAGTAGGAAAAGAAGATCGCAGCCCAATTGGTGGGCAACAGAGTGAATTCTAGTATAAAACAGGGCTTCAGGTACATGCGCTAAAATGTAATCAAAGGTTTACTAATAATGGGAAAACAAACGATCAACAACAAATGGTCCAGCACTAACTGGCAGTTACCTTCTGATTTCGCCTCGACACTCGAGACAGCCCTGCCTTTTTGTCTTCCGATTTTTAGGGGTTAATCGTACAGGTATAGCCGATGTAATTTTTTCTTCCAACCGCATTGTACATTCAAATAAGGACCATGGTATATCTTACATTTTCGAATTAACGTTTCGATACCGGCTTTCAGTTGACGGTCTTACTAGTAATGGGGATAATTTTAGCAGTGATTCTAAGTATGTGCAGATATCAGAATAAAGGTTTGTCACTGGAATAAAGCAGACATATCTTTTTTTTTGTCTATTATCCACACGTGAGCTTGAGATATTGTAGATTCTAAGGATACTCAGTCACCGATGAACTGTAGGGCAACATCTTGTCAAACGACTGTACATACAAATCGGTAAAAAAGCGCATCTCGGCAGCAACAATTCTGATCCTTTTGATAATAGTAATTTGAAAAAATTGTTGGACGCTCCAGAACATACGTTTTGATAGGCGTTGAGTAGATTCGTGTTGCTGGAGATCGTTGACGTTCTTAGGTGTAAC